GGTCAAATAATTATTCTTCGTAATGCATACAACTAACGTTGTAATAGACGACAATGTCATTGTCATCACAGCCACCATCATTGTCTTTAGCATTAGTGTCCTCATTGTATCATCGTTATCATTATTATTCATGGATTAAATTACTTATTTTTGGTCATTGTCATCACTTTTTGATCTTATTTGTTTTCTTTAAATCAATTAGTCCTTTTTGCGACTGTTGCATTTGAGTAACATTCAACAACGAACTTGTTTTCATAATATATATTTATACATATATATATATAGAAGACAATACGTCAAATCATGTTACATTAATTAAGTACTTCCGCGTGCGTGCTAACTGGTTAGTCCTTTTATCACGTACGTAGTTTATGAATATATATTAATATATATATATATATATATATATATATATAAACACACACACACACACACACAAATTAAGACAATAAAAAAAACTAAATTAATGTTATTGGTCGAATATTTAAAGAAAACATTGGAAGACAAATAGAGATATATAAAAGCAATATTAAATTAAGTAGAATTTTAAAAGAATATATAACTACATTTATTATAGGCTTATTACAGTACGATTGTGGATTATCTCTAAATACCATCACAGGCAATGAACAGCAATTAGTTAGATTTTTTGTTCCGAAATGTCAAGCACTTGAAAACTAAATTGAAAAGGCAAAAAAAAAAAAAAAAAAAAAGTTGCTTGAATAAACAAGCACGAAGAAGCTGGAATATTTTCCCTTGGCTTTTGTTATGTCGAATGGAATGATTGTAGGGTCAATTAAACAAAAAAATCAGGAACTTTGATTTGGTTTCCTTTGATTTTTCATCATAACCTAAGCCATCAAAATGACAATGCTTGTTATCTCTTGAAGGATTGACCGACAAAAGCGAGAATTTGGTTGAATTTTCCTTTTCCTTGTCTTCGACTAAAATTTTAACCTTTGACGGAAGCAATATTTTCTATGAGTATCCAAAAATTCCTATCATTGGTGGGTGACCAATAATGGAGGAGAAAAGTATTAATTGATTAGCATATTAACAAGACACATTACCTACTTAAATAGACATAAATCAACATGAAAGAAAAAACTAAAAAAAATAAAAAATCTCTCTCAAGCTTCCACACTTGAGGAGGATTTTGGTATATATGTTTAATTATGCAGAATTTCCTATATCCTATTATCCTCATCACGTCTTAATCTCATACGAAGACAATAAAACTCTTAATTTAATACAATTTAACAATAATTGCTGGTTTTTAATTGGACAAGGATCTAAATCAGGTCAATGGTTTAAACTACACATCAATTTCATATTAGCCAAAAAAAAAAAAAAAAAAAAAAAAACCGCGGATATTTCAAGGAGACCCGTCAAAGGTAGGACCCCCACATATCATTTTCCGTACAATATATTTATAGTCTACTCTAGACAAACAATAGCATAATGTATCTTTTAGGTTCTCTCTTTTTACCTACACATAATAGATATGTTTAATTATTGTCTACTGTGCTTGTCTTAGAAAAATTAAAACATATGGGCCCGTTTAGTTCGCTGATTCGAGTTTTTAATTCGAGTTAAGATGTGATTTTATGTGAGAGCTTTTTACTTTAGCAAAAAAGTTAAATGTGATTGTTTATGAGAGCTTTTTACTGTAGCAAAACTCGAATTCTAAACTCGAATTGGTAAAGTAAACGGGGCTATAGTTTCTCTACCAAGTTCCAAACTTTGGAAACCTCCAAGTCTAGCTTCATCATGTCATGAGTCATCATTCATTTGCCTTCCTTTCATTTTCCACATTTGCTTTTTTTTTTAACTTTTAAAAAGGTCAATAATTTTGAGTCATTATCTCAAAGTAATATTCTTGGTACTTTAGGGAAAAAAAAAAACTGTTATGCTCCATCCCCAAAATATATTGCGCTTTATTAATGCAGTTCCTCATACTATGTTAAATTTTTAAAAAAAAAAAAAATGATTGAATAATTAATACGTAATTGAAAACAAAATTTATGGTGACGTGTCCTCTTCTAAATGTCCAATCATTGTCAAAACCGTTTTCTGCCAGCATTTAAAACACTCCTTGGCTTTTTACTACTAATCAGAAGGAAGTGGCCATAAATTAATTTGCATTTCAGCATCATGATGTGCGTCCAATGGAAGCCCCCTTATTTAAAACTTTTAACTTATAATTTCGAATAGAATAATATAAATAATTTATCATTTATTATTATTTTGTTGCTGCTGTTGTTATTGTTTTTGCTAAAATACTTTGGAACCCATCTTGCAATTTTGACTTTTCGGTCTGCAAATATACCTCTTGGGCCCATTTCAAAAAGAAATAAAATAAAATAAAACAAAATTCTTGTTTTAAGGTCAGTTTGACATTGTTGTGCTATTAAAAATATTTGTTATAGATTTTCTATTAATCAGAAATTACTATGACTACAAGGAAGTAGACGTTTGATTTTTTTTTTTTCAATAGTAAAGCATGTATTTGATAAACTATGTGTAAATTGATGTGAAATATATAATGAGTAAAATAGAGATATCTTATATACATGCATTTATAGTTTTAGTTTTATTTCTAAATTTAAAATCAAAATTCATAATATATTTTCACACTAAAATAATAAAAAATTTTAATTTTGTTATTTAAATTATTCCTCATTATTTATAAACATTTAATTAATTATACAAAATATTTAAGTAAAAAATTTGAATTGTATATTTTTTTGATAAGTACATTTATTTCATAGGGTATATTTAAATTTCGTATTATATATTTTGTAACTGGACAATAATTTTAAGAAGTTATTTGGAAAAATAAAAAAGAGAGATTTACGGTTTACTAAATACTTGCCGTGTTTGGAATTATTTTTATTTTTATTTTTTACGTTTTTCAAGAAAGAAAGATGAAAAAGATTTCAAAACGGCGTTTGACACAATTAAAAAAATAGAAATGAAAATAATTTTTTAGTTTAGTGTAAAATGAGAGAAAAATAAAAAATTATTTTTAGTTGTTTTTTATTTTTTATTTTCATTTTCTCCTCTCTCGAGCACAGAGAAAGACATTAATGAATTTTTTTTATATTGTAAATAATTTCTTAATAAAACTACCAAACACATTTTCAATAATAATAATATTTTCATTTTCATTTATATAACAAAAATAAAATTATTTTAAAATAAATTTTAAACACACCCACGACACCCACGACACGACGACCTACATGAGATTCTAACACCAAATATTAATGGAGTGTCAATCAATCTTATAGGATGATTAGCCAAAAAAAAAATCAATCTTATAGGATGATTAGCAAAAAAAATCAATCTTATAGACTACGGTGTGTGCCATAGCATAGGACCGCAAAAAAAAAAAAAAAAAAAAAAAAAGCCGCTGATCATGATTGTGCCCATCACGGCCGTCGACATAGATTGCGATTGATGATAAAAAATGATGATGCTGATATCATTGGAAAAGCCGACTATACTCCATCAGTTTTTTGCTGAAAGGAAAGCCACTTTTGCAGGGGGGCGCACAAAGCAAAATGAACGGCCTAAAATCCAGGGAGCTGTCTTCCTAATCCGACGGTATAGGTTTTGCCACGTCGTCACTCTCCCCTCTTCCGTTGAAGAAAAAAAGAAAAAGAATGGAAAATTATCATGCATGTATATATGAACATAATTAATACAACTATATAACGCATAAAGCATGACATGGGTCATGGGTGATAAACCAATTAAACTTTGAACTCATCATGGTGAAATTCTCCACATGATGATGATGATGATGATTATCATGATACATGGGATGTATGGATGGATGGATAATAAAAGTAATGATTACAAAGGGGGTCATGATGGCTAACGCCACCTTAGATAAAAAAACAAAACAAAACGAATAATAGAAATAATTTTTATTAATTAATTTAATTTTTAATAAACCATATATAGGAGAGAAACACAGAATAGCAACAACACGCACAAGACTGCGCAGCCATAGCCGCCATTTCCTCTTGTGAGCCTTTTTCGCTATGATCATTGATTTTCTTTTTGCCCTTTTTCTTTTATTATGGGTTCTTACTTTATAAATTCATTTATTTCCCTATGATTAATCGTTATTATTAACTACTTGTAGTAGTACTAGTTCTTAGGATAGACCTATAGAGAGAGAGAGAGAGAGTAGTGTAGACGACAGAAGAGAAAAGAGATAAAGACACCAAATAAATAAAAGCACTGAATTAAATTAAATTTTTTAAAAAAGAGAATTTAATAACAAAACATTTATAACTCGTTTAGTTTATTATGGATTAGAATCACGAGATTAGAATTATTTTTTATTTATGTGTATTTTTTATAAGAAAAAATACTATAACGAATTATAAACCATTATTCGAATCAAAAAATGAATCCTCCAACTAAACGGGTCCTTAAAACAAGAAAAAAAAAGAATAAGTGGGCGATTCTAGAGAGAGAAAAATTACAAAAAAAAAAATTAAAGTATTTAAAGGCACTATAAGAGCACTCGTACCAGTCCAATGATGAACTACTCACCACCTAAGAAGAAGCTTAACGGCCTCTCACCCCACCCAAAAAAAAAAAAAAAATTCAAATTCTTTCTTTATTTATTTATTTTTTCTTTTCCTTTTCCGTGCCTGACCTATATCTATATGACTTTGCGAATCATATATATTAGCTGGGCTTCTTCTAGTTTCTCCAATTTCGAAGCCTAAAAAAGCTAGCAAGCTTTTGGTAGCTATTTCCTTGCTTCTAACACACGTTATTTGGGCTGCGTTTCGCGGCCTTGAAAAAGCTGCGGATTTAACACTTCTCCTCTATACGCCTCTTTCTCTTCTCCCTCTTCTCTAATCATTTTCCTTCTATAAAAGCCACCTCTCAGTTCGTTCCTTTTCAGCACAAACACACTCAACTGACTGGTGGGTTTTGTATCGTTTTTGTTTCTGGTTAAAATTCATTCCATTCAGAGAAGTTCCTTTTTGTCTGTCTTGAAAAACAATATGGTTGGAGAAGTAGTTGAGAAAGTCTTAGTGATAAGAGAATACGACCCAAAAACAGACCTCTCTGGCGTTGAAGATGTTGAGAGGAGATGTGAGGTCGGTCCCAGTGGAAAACTCTCTTTGTTCACCGACCTCTTGGGTGACCCTATCTGCAGAGTCCGAAACTCTCCTGCTTTTTTCATGCTGGTAAACCAAAAAAAAAAAAACCCCACTATTCCATTCGAACCCACTTTTTCATAACGTGGGGTGGTCGTTACATTACATGGTTTTTTTTTTTTTTTTGTGTGTGGACATTATGATTTATGGTGTGTTGTTCTGTAACAGGTAGCCGAGATGGGGGATGAGAAAGAGATGGTGGGGATGATCAGGGGTTGCATCAAAACCGTTACATGCGGGAAAAAACTCTCTAGAAAGGCTAAAAACAACAATAGTGAAACTATTGCCAAAGCCAAAGCTCTCCCCGTTTATACCAAGCTTGCCTACATACTTGGCCTCCGCGTTTCCCCTTCTCATAGGTATATATATATTAAAAAAAATGAACTTCTCTTAGTTTGTTTTTCAATGAAAATGAAGTTACAAAAATGGCCCAATTTATTTATTTTTTTGTTTTTATTTAATAAATGTGAACATGCCGTTTAATAATTATTGAGACTTGATTTAAAATGTTTTATTTTTGTTGTTTTTTAGGAGGATGGGAATAGGGTTAAAGCTGGTGCGTGGAATGGAGGAGTGGTTTAGAGAAAATGGGGCTGAATATTCCTACTTAGCAACCGAAAACGACAACCAAGCTTCGGTTAACCTCTTCACCCACAAATGCGGCTACTCCAGGTTCCGTACACCTTCGATTCTCGTCAACCCCGTGTTCGCTCACCGAGTCAAGGTCTCGTCCCGAGTCACCGTCATCCGACTCAGTCCCCGCGACGCCGAGTCAATCTACCGGACTCGCTTCTCCACCACCGAGTTCTTCCCGCGAGATATTGACTCGGTGCTCAACAACAAGCTCACCTTGGGGACGTTCCTGGCGGTGCCACGCGGGTCTTACTCGGCCGAGTCGTGGATCGGGTCGGATCAGTTCCTCGCCGACCCGCCCGAGTCGTGGGCCATCCTCAGCGTGTGGAACACCAAGGACGTGTTCACGCTCGAGGTGAAAGGCGCGTCGCGCGTGAAGCGCACGCTCGCGAGGACGACGCGCGTGATCGACAGGGCTTTGCCGTGGCTGCGGCTCCCGTCGGTGCCGGATTTCTTCAGGCCGTTTGGGCTGCACTTCATGTACGGGCTGGGAGGGGAAGGCCCACGCGCGGGCAGGATGGTGAGGGCGCTTTGCGGACAGGCGCACAACCTCGCGAAGGAGCGTGGGTGTGGGGCCGTGGCGACGGAGGTGTCCAGCCGAGAGCCGCTCAGGTTAGCGATACCGCACTGGAAGAGGCTATCGTGCGCCGAGGATCTATGGTGCATCAAGAGGTTGGGGGAGGACTACAGTGACGGCTCTGTTGGTGACTGGACAAAATCACCTCCTGGCTTGTCCATTTTTGTTGACCCCAGAGAGTTCTAAATTTCGTAAGGAATCCAACAAACTAGCTCGAAAAAAACAACACGAGAGCTAGATAGCCGTAACCCACAAAAAAAAAAAAAAAAAAAAAAAATTTTCCCCCTTTTTTTCTTTTTAGATTTTTTTCTTCATGGTTTTTGTAACCTTTTTTTTTTTTTTTTTTGGGCCCTTTCTTTGTTATATAAATATTATTCTCGAGCGATTTTGATGGGGGTGGGGAAAAAAGAGGTTGTTCTAATTTGCGCAAAGATATGGGTCTTTTGTTGTAAAAGGGAATATTTATATATAACCACCTTTTGGTTTTTTCCATGTTGTTACTCCTCATCTTTGTAAATGAATGTGACCTTTTTAGATCCTCTCTAAGCTTAAAGCGTAGACTTTAATTTTTATGTGGGGTTGGGTTTATCTTTTTTTTTTTTTTTTAATGGGGTTTGCTTTCATATAATTCTATAAATAAATTATATTCTAAAGTCTTGTTCTCTTTTCTTTTTCTTTTTTTTTTTTTCGTTTGATATGAGAATATACACGATCGGAAGTAATACTATGCGTGCGCTAAGTAGAAAGTTTTTGAGTGAACTTTTTGGAATCATATCGTCCGTCCTCGATTATATGCCTGTTGTGGAGAGGCCTTTATCTTATTCACTTTTTTTGGTTTAATTAGGTTGGCAGTATCTTTCTAATTAAGGGTGAGTGGCCCTAGTGAACGTATCTTGTTTTTTTATGGAATAGAGTCATGGACCAGTACCCCTCTAAATGAGGGCAGTTTTGACTTTCTAACCATATACAGAGTATATCTATAGTATATATCTATATCTAATTTCATATCATGACATGATATAACATAATAATGGGCTACTTTTATTTTGGATGAACATTTGGTGGGTTTTTGGAACTCCTCTTTTGGGGCGATGGAATAAGACCGAGGATTTGGCCTTTTGCTGCTGTGTATGTATGTGATGCGAGTCCTTTTTGCATCTTATTTTGGCAGTGGACGATATCAAGATAACGAAAAAAATAAAAAAAATAAAAAAAAATAAAAAGTTGAGAGAGGAAGATACGAGTGGGGAATTGAGGTATTTTGATCCTCGTCTTTAGCTCTTTATAAGCACGTCTTTCGCTTTCTACTTGACTTTGGCGGACCCTCTAAATTCTCTCCCTCCCCCCTCTATTTTCTCTAGCCAATATATAGTACTAGAGACTTATCCTAGTATGAAATCAAGAGTACAAAATACCCAATAAAAGGGTATAAATGAATAAGCACAAAAAATATCCTACCAATAGTATATTATATTGAAACAACGTGTTTTTATTATGCACGCTCTGTCAATTTTGTATATTTTTATATTTCGATTTGACTTTAATCACATTTAATGTGCACGATTAATGATTTCAATAATAAAATTATAGGAAATGTCTCTAAGTTCGGTGTAGATATAATTTTTTTTTTGTTACACAACGCAACATTATTTGTATAATGTAACCGCTCACTTTGTTTAAGTATAACACTAAATAAAAATCTATTCTCTACCGTCATGTTCCACTAAAATTATTTCACTATTATCATATTACACCAAAAAACTACGAGTCCATACAAAAAAAAAATATTACATATGTCGTACCATACAGTCGCCAGACTTATGATGCTGCTTAAAATTTTATAGTAGAAAGCTCCTTGATAATATGAGGTCATGAGTCTAATGCTATGTTTGATAGGAAAGAAAGAAAATAGGATAGAAAGAAAATATAGAAGTGATGAAAAATAATAATGATGGAAAGCAAATTGATTTTCTTTTATATTGTTTGGTATGAGAAGATGGAAAGAAAATGAGTTTAACTTCACTTGTTTGGTATTGAAAGTTAAATTGGGAGGAAAAAAAAAATTTTACTCGTAAATTACTTTTATAACCTTAAATTTTTTGCTTGGATGTTGATGAAGAAAATTGTAGTTTAGTAACTTTGCTCACTTTAATGAGTTGTCCCTATTTTTCATCTCATTTTCTGCCCACTTGTGGAAAGAAAAAAATAGTGGGGCCCACATGTATTATTTTCCACTCTATTTTCTCTTCCTTTCCCTTTTCTCTCATACCAAATAACTTACATTATATATCTATATCTAATTTCATATCATGACATGATATAACATAATAATGGGCTACTTTTATTTTGGATGAACATTTGGTGGGTTTTTGGAACTCCTCTTTTGGGGCGATGGAATAAGACCGAGGATTTGGCCTTTTGCTGCTGTGTATGTATGTAATGCGAGTCCTTTTGCATCTTATTTTGGCAGTGGACGATATCAAGATAACGAAAAAAATAAAAAAAATAAAAAAAAATAAAAAGTTGAGAGAGGAAGATACGAGTGGGGAATTGAGGTATTTTGATCCTCGTCTTTAGCTCTTTATAAGCACGTCTTTCGCTTTCTACTTGACTTTGGCGGACCCTCTAAATTCTCTCCCTCCCCCCTCTATTTTCTCTAGCCAATATATAGTACTAGAGACTTATCCTAGTATGAAATCAAGAGTACAAAATACCCAATAAAAGGGTATAAATGAATAAGCACAAAAAATATCCTACCAATAGTATATTATATTGAAACAACGTGTTTTTATTATGCACGCTCTGTCAATTTTGTATATTTTTATATTTCGATTTGACTTTAATCACATTTAATGTGCACGATTAATGATTTCAATAATAAAATTATAGGAAATGTCTCTAAGTTCGGTGTAGATATAATTTTTTTTTTGTTACACAACGCAACATTATTTGTATAATGTAACCGCTCACTTTGTTTAAGTATAACACTAAATAAAAATCTATTCTCTACCGTCATGTTCCACTAAAATTATTTCACTATTATCATATTACACCAAAAAACTACGAGTCCATACAAAAAAAAAATATTACATATGTCGTACCATACAGTCGCCAGACTTATGATGCTGCTTAAAATTTTATAGTAGAAAGCTCCTTGATAATATGAGGTCATGAGTCTAATGCTATGTTTGATAAGAAAGAAAGAAAATAGGATAGAAAGGAAATATAGAAGTGATGGAAAGGAAATTGATTTTCTTTTATATTATTTGGTATGAGAAGATGGAAAGAAAATGAGTTTAACTTCACTTGTTTGGTATTGAAAGTTAAATTGGGAGGAAAAAAAAAATTTTACTCGTAAATTACTTTTATAACCTTAAATTTTTTGCTTGGATGTTGATGAAGAAAATTGTAGTTTAGTAACTTTGCTCACTTTAATGAGTTGTCCCTATTTTTCATCTCATTTTCTGCCCACTTGTGGAAAGAAAAAAATAGTGGGGCCCACATGTATTATTTTCCACTCTATTTTCTCTTCCTTTCCCTTTTTCTCTCGTACCAAACAACTTACATTTTCATTTTTCCTCTCAAAATCCCTCCACCTTCTTCATTCCTTCTACTTTTCTTTCCTACCAAAGGTCATGCATGCAATAAACGCCTTCCAGATCGGCAAAGTTTAGAAGAGATTTTGGCTTGTATGGGCCTTTCACGGGGTTTGTACACTAAATAAAAGATCATATGAATCATGAGAGTAGTGGGGGAAGGTGGGAATAGTTGAAACTACAAATTAATGTGAATGGCTAATTATAAAAAAGCCAACAGCAGCGTTATCTGTACTGTACATTTTGCTGCTCACATTGCCATTTGGTGTGATTTGTGTGGTTCTGTGGGGGTTGTTGCGCGTGTTTAGTATGAGGATTCATGTCATAATTCGAATCATAGTTCGTGATTTATTATAATATTTTTTTTCATAAAAATACACATAAATCAAGAATGATTCTGAATTATAACTCTAAATCTGTGAACTAATTAACGGCAATCATGTATTCTCTTAGGAAAAGAGAAAATAGTTTTTAAAAAAGGGCTCATCATAAATGCCAGCCAAGACAGAAAGGGTATAACTCCTTTTTTTTTTTGGGTCTTATTCTAGTTCCTGTCAAAAAACACTATAATGGTCACAGAAAGGGTTTCTTCTTTCTTTTTTTTTTTTTTTTTTTTTTTGTGATTGGGCTTAATTTCTATAGGTGATTTGTTGTACTATAACAATATTCTAGGCGAAAATTTCATGTTGTTTTAAAATATATTGCTCCTATTTGATTGATTACAATTTCCACTATATCTAAAACCAAAAAAAAAAAAAAAAAACACTATTTAGCAAAAATTTATTTCACGTGACAGAATCATGTGTAACCTATTTTTCTTCAAATTTCTTTGCATAAAACAAGATCTATTCTCAAATTAACTTGATTATTCTAATCACACTATAAGCTGAACTTTTTTTAATGTAACATCAATCTGATACATATAGACTATAGCTAGTGGGCATTTTCATGTAGTAATTAGCAGATATATTGAGCATCAAAACTGGTTTAATTAATTATGTACAATTATCTCTTTTCATATTGTTCCTAATTGTTTGAAACTGTTCTAAGCACGACAAATTGAAAAGAAGAAAGAGTAATTGCCAAATTGACTAACTCCCCCTAAACGAAAGTCTTTACATGATGTTGACAATATATAATTCAATGAATTTGGACTTCCAAAAAGTTTGTTCATCCGGAAATCCTGAGAAAAGGTTTCCCTTAAGCTCGACAAAAGGAGATGATCATGATCATTGCATTTTATTGGATAATATAATCCTTTCTGTTATCCTCCATTATCCATTTGGGCAATGACAAAGAAGCACCATAAACAAATAATATTAACTACTTGTTAAACAAGACTGATTATTCTAAGATTAAAACATGAAAAATTTGTATTAGGCAAAGTAGGTGAAAAGTTGACATTGTTAGGCGACTTTTGACCCGCGAATTTTTTGATCCATGCTAAACTAATTAAATTTTTATCTCTAAGTGTGGAAATTCACTCTCCTAAGTCCACCTTCAACGCAGCCTAAAAAAAAGATGTTCCCAAAAGAAAAAGCTTGCCTATAAAAAAGGCAAAGACTAACACAATGAAAAGGGTGAAATTTACTTTTTTGTTCATTCCATTTTTTTGGTGTGACTTTCAAAAAGTACTTTGATCGTTTAGTTTTTTTTTTTTA